CAGCCCCACGAAACCAGTGAAGGATGTCATGTCTCATTCATAAGCAATTCAGGGCCGGGGAACGTCTCTGCAAACGTTAACCATCTGCTGGGTGAAGAGCGTCAGGCATGGTGTCAGGCATATGTGCATGGCATTGGTGATGGCATGGCAGTTGTGACGGGACATGGACGGGACATACCCGTTGTGCGTGCCAGGGTGACGGTATGCTCTTGATGGTAAACAAAATGGTTAAGACCGACGGTTACTGGATCTACTGGTTAAGACCAAGGCCATGTAGTAAGGTATGATCATCCGGGGATTTTTCCAGCACTTTCCCTTCACTATTACTGTGACGTCACAAAGCCACAGCCTGGCATCACCTCTCCGTCTGCATTATCTTCGCGTCTGCTACACCGGTGCACCTACTAACAAATGCTTCTGGTGATCGCCACAGGGTGCTTTAAGAAGTTTCATCAGGAAATATGTAAGGGAGATGTTTTTGCCACGCTGGGTGCGTGACAGCTAGGCCTAGGAACCCAGATCCTGTGTGCCACGGCACTCCCACTTGCTGAGGATGCCAAACATTGAGTCTATGGCGATGTACTGAATTCGGCCAGCCTACAGCTGCTTAAATGCAGGCTGGCGAGCCCGCCCAAGGTCCAGCCACTATCAAAGGGGGAACTAACCGGCACCAGAATCATCATCCGAACTGTCGCGCTGAACCTCAGCACTATATATAATGACGCGCCGGGTTGCTCTGGTGTGTGATGGACGCAGATTGAGACGACGGAAGTGGTGTGCTGCCTGCTAGAACATAGGACATTGTGGACATTGCACATTGCATCAATTATGACACGAAGCCTCCGAAGGTCGTGGCGCGTGGCGTTAATCAAGAAAATATCCGTTACGCCCATGCAGCCAGTTCACCGCACACACGTATGACTCATAATTCACTGTATTTTACTAAAACGATTCTTGCGCCCAGCATACACTTCATTGTGCACACTTGGCGAGGACACAGAGCAAACAGGGAGGGGGGGGGGGGCGGAGAACACAAGTATATTTTTTTCCAGATTAAATCTAGGGTTATGCGACATGATAACCAGTCTGAAACAACCCAAACGTTTGTCTGCGGAGGAACCGTCTATGCCTCAAACAGACACACAAGCATGCAAGACAAAGATGACATGACGATGCTCACTTAAGGTCACTTACTTTTGTTCACATAAGCACAACGATGCTCACTTAACGCTGTCCACCTGACGTCGCACCTGTTTGGCTGCGCGCCTGGCAGCAGTCCGCTCAGCCCCAGCCTGATTAAGCCATCCGAGGCGCAGATGGATGCGCGTTGTCACCAGCTACCGAGCAATCCGCTTGTCCTGCGCAGAACTTTCTCAGCAGGAGCTTTGTGAGGCGGTCGACGATACCAATGTCTCAGTCCATGCCTGCCCCCATCAATACCTGGAACACGATCTTGTAAGCCTCGACAACGCTCGTCCAGGCCTTGCACGGTACATCAAAGACCACCTTGGCTAATCGCGTGTGTCCACCTGTCTGGCAACAGCAGCTGGATGGTGTCTCTCGGGTCGACAGTCCCTACTTGGATCGAGGTGTTTGCACTTTGCCAACCGCCACGAAGCCGGCAACGAGGGTCAGCGCCCCGTGCTTGGATGTTGACGCTCGTCATCTCGTCGCCGCGGTGGGGCCATTTTTCGGCCACTCGCTGTCACCGCCACGGAGCATGTCTTGCCGCCCGACTCGTTGACCCCGCCGTCCTCTCCGAACCCGTTCGGGACGAGCACTGGAGCCTCACGACTGTTTGCTGGTAGGGGCCTTCGCGTTGTCCGCATTCTGGGACCTTCTACACAGCTGGATCTTAGATCTGTGACACAACGAAACACAGTCATTTCCACGTACCTAACAGGCGCATTAATCAGACTGTATTACAAGTCACCATTTTGTTCTCATTGCGACAACAAAACGTGTTGGACCCGGACATCCCTTTTTTGGTTATCTCATGCTTGTTTCATACACAACTACTTTTTTTGTGGTCCAGCGTAACATAATCCGAGCGGGTAAGAGGGACGGTCAATGACCGACGAGTACTGCACTGCGTGCACGACTCTCATATCTACCGCTCCTGGCCATAGCCACGGATTTTGTCTGGATGGTCCCGTTTCATGGTCCCATTTCAGTGCATCGGTTGCCCCAGGGGGTGGCGCCGCCATTACTTACTGTTTTCGACGCAAAAACACGAGAACATCGCGGCCCTCCGAGGCCCCCCCCCATCCATTCGTTCTGCACGAGAGGTTGAAGGTCTATGGTTTAAGCACATCAGCATTTTTTTTACCATGATATTACTGTATGTAATCCTTAGCTTTGGTGGCCATGCAAAAAGCTTTTGTTTGAAATCTCGAACACTAACATGGAGAGTGACACGAACAGTCCAAATGGCTCATTAGTAATAAAGTTCGCATATAGGGGGGCGACATGTACGGCACGCAGCTGAAAGCAATGTTCAAGGCACCAGGGCAAACCAACACGGGTAGCTCATTGATGCGCTAGGTGCTGTATTTTAGCCGTTGGGGGGGGGGGGGACGGGGTTATTAGTCAGCTCACAGTGCGTAGATGTGTTGTCAATGGGGCTGGGACTCGCTCGTGCAAACTTGCCCTCCCCCGCCGCTAACCCTGGCTCCGCCCCTGACACCCTCCCCTTCGCCCGTGTAGCATAGATGGCTGTGCTACTTGTGTGGTAGCCAGGCCCCACTTTGTAAACAAGATAATGGTTGGAAAGTCTCGTTTGGAGATCGTATTGTAGTCTACAACTGCACAGAGGGGCATAGATTGCGCATGCATCGAACTGTAAATCGGGTTGACAGATCTCTGCATAAAACAGACGGTAATTTTCCTTTTTAAGCACACATACTCACATCGGCGTGCCGGCGATGTCCAGTTGCATGGAAGGAACTGCACTTGGTCGAAGGCATTTAACACTGGGTTTGGGACTGATCTTAACCAGATGGCCAGGGCCAGTCATGATGTTGAAATGATCAGATCAGATACCGCATTCGCCACATTTATAGTAACCTCCAAGAGCAACGGCGCATTCACGTTTTCATGACAGTTGGATCGTTTTTTACAAATGTAAAAACTAAAATGCCTTCATTGCGCCGTTTAATATTCTTACAAGAGGCCGCCTCACAGGATGGCATCTCGCTGCCAAAAAAACCGCCTTTGATGCTTACTATTGGCCAATGCTGGTGCACCACTTCGAATTTCTCCCACCCGCGACATAACAGCACGCACCGAGGCCACATAACAATACAAACTTGGTGCCACGACGCACATAATAGACAATACCGACCACAGCACTTGTGCGCGACTGCCGTTTTCCAAACGGCGCAGTCGACGTTGCCATGCAACTGCTGCTCAACCCAGCGCGACTTTGCGACGCCACCGCTAACGTTAAGGAGCCGCCCGCTGTCTGACCAATTTCCCAAGCGTGATGATGGCCCCCTGGTTAAGACTTCGGTATAAACACGCCGAAACTGCTATCTTGTAAGTGTATGGAAAGATAGCAACGCACGTGTATGATCGCAGCACTTTCGCTGTGAAGATGCCCATATTTGTATCAATTTGGAAACAGCTTGGAGGAACATTTTCAAATGCCAAAAACGCTTGACTGCTCAATTCACAAGTTCCCAATGACAAAAACGCGTAACTACCCAATTGACAACGGCTCCTAATGACAAAAACACGTAACTGCTTCATTTACAACGGTTCCCGATGCTAAAAACGCGCAACTGCTCAATTTACGACGTTCCCCGACGGCAAAAATTTACAACGGTTCCCAATGACAAAACCGGCATAATTGCTCAATTTACGACGGTTCCTAATGACGAAAACGCGTAAATTCAAAGCTACGCTTTTGACACAACTGACGCTGAGCGTAGCTGACAAAATCGCGTTTATAAATGGATACGTGTTCTAGGCATTAAAGCCAGAGCGTGTGGGAACGTGTCAGTTACTAGTCTGTCTTTCGAAAACCCCTACAGGCACTGCTTATACGCGAATCTACCAAGGCATATATGCCTTTTCATTCTTTTCAAAATCAATGAACAGACCTATCACTTTGTTCAAAATATGCGGCTCATCGGGACGATTCTAATGATACAAACAGCCTCAATTGCGAGAAAAATGTTAGTTACCTGTTCCCTGAATTCAGGTGACAGAAAAACGCGGCTCGCGGGGTTTTGCTACAGCTTGGGCGCCGCACACACTACACCGGAGGAAAGGGCTTGCCCCCGAAGGCCGGTAGAAGCGAGAGAGACGGGAAGGTATAGCTATCTATTCTATTTCATTTATTTCATTATTTTTTAAACTACTTCGGCGTTTCGCGGACTGCCCATCACGGCATGTCGGCGTCACAGCACCGATGCACGCCAATGAGCACTGCAATACGGGAACCGCGAGGAGACGAAGGTGGAGACAACACTGACCTGTTACTGGACTGCATGCTCACTCCGCCAATTTGATTCAGCCGTTGTGTCTGTTCATCCCGGACGAGGTGGCGGGCCGAGAGGCCAATACTAGCTTGGAAAAAATGGGCAAATCGCTAGCTTAATCTGATCGTATTTCTGCTCATGGGGAAAGCTTAGGTTGTGGTTAAAGCAATCATGAAGCACTTGAGCGAATGCAAAATGCAAGGCCGAACTGAGACAGACCCGAGACCACAGATACCACGACCAGACATGGTACACAACTAAAACGTCGAACTGTTGTGCGGCGGCGCAATTTGTGCTACGCATCCACCACACAGACAATTACAATCACGGGCTCAATTCTCAACTTCGCCTATCACAAGCGCGCACGCTGATTCTGACCGTCGCAGCCCCCGTGGTCTAATGAACACTTCCGTACCGAAGCGAGCTGACGCCACGCACTGGACGCCACCCTGACCACAGCACCGACTTTCCACCCTGGATAGCCCTCGGGCCCAGACTGGCCACATCCGCCGGCCATCATGGGGCGCCCCTCAGGCCGCCTGAGTTCCCTGGCCGCCGCCGGCACGCTCATGACGTCCACTTGAGACAACGCGTCTCCTGATGTGTGTGCTGGCAGCGCACGCAGCAGAAGCGCGCGCCGCACTGCACACACGTGTAGTTGCTGGGGAAGCCGCAGACGGCGCAGAGGCGGCGCTCCGGTCGGTTGCTGGCCGGCGCCCGCGCCGAGCTGTAGCTGGGCGGCTGCGGCTCTGGCTGCTGCTGCTGCTGCTGTTGTTGTTGCTGCTGTTGCTGTTGCTGTTGCTCCTCCTCGAGCAGTGACGAGAATGTCTTGCGGAACCTGCCGCGGTGGGAGGGGGCAAGGAGAGCGCGTCACGCCAGGCGGTTGGCATTAGAAGGGAAAGGGGCAGCGCGGCGTCGCAAGTCACACCTCAATAAGCGCTTGGTGAAGATTGCCGCCAACAAGGTACCGTGCCTCGACTCACGACACGAAGTGCGGCCCGCACTCTGCAACAAAACTGTAGGCCGACTATAGTCTGATAATGTAGGCTAGCTAGCACACAAGTAAAAAATGAGTTGCATTTGATGAACGTCCACTACGTTGGCAACAATAATGCATTACACACCACACACCTCTGAAACCAGTACACATTCAGGGCCACTTTCGACCGTTGCATTGCCGAAAGCGACGTCTCAAACTGGCAAGCCAATGGAAGAAACAACTGAGAAGGCAGGATATAAGAATGTGTTTCTCGCAAGCACAAAATCCGCCAGATCTACCCCCCCCCCCCCCCATCCCCAGGAACCACTGCTATCCTTCCCCTGACCGTTGTTTGAAGTACTCGAAGCTGCGCGCCTTGCGCTTGCGGTCGGGGCGGGTCTTGCCATCCAGCGACTCCTCAAACTTGGGCGCTTTCTTGTGCATCACCAGGTTGGCGTGCGGGTCATCGTGAAAGTTGTCCTGCTCGAGCGCCTCGAGCGCCTTCCGTTGACGACGGCGGCGGGACGCCTCGTCCAGTACTACGTGCGACGCGGCCCGCGCGCGTGACGTCATCCTCTGGCCCGGTGGACACAGGAGGGACACGATCTGGCGTTCAGCAGTGCACTTACTTCTCCACCAACGGGAAGCTGATCTGATCCATTAAGTCGTCAATGCGAGCCTGCAACACGCATATGCCTTTAACACATATGGTGACACCCCTAGCGCTGTGGCCCCATTACAAAGGCTTACCTAATGTACTGATTTAACTACCACAATTTTTGATCCACCTCATGGTTGCATGCACTCCTTTATGAAACCGGCATTATACTCACATTGAACATGTCTTTGCAGTCACAAACATCAAGTTTTAGGAATGGGATAAAACTTAGCCCCTCTTCACTGCAACAGTGCAAAACTAAAATATGTAGTAGACAACATTTTTCTCAATGTTGCTGTTACAAGTAACCAAATGCTAACATACTTGTACCACTTCCATCACACAAGGCAGAGTTGCTTCAATATGTCCACCAAAAGTGTTCACTTTCTTCCACCTTGTCACAAGTACCTGGAGGGGTGTCGTAAATATCGCTGGAAATGAACAGGTGCATGTCATCCAGATCCTGGAGGATGAAGCGCCTTCCTAAAGCACTGGTCTCATCCAGATGCAGAAGAAACTGTTTCATAGCAGGATCGCTGCATTCAGTACATAATCAGCAAAAATACATGACATGGATATTTACACATGCAATCTTGACATAAACAATGCCAGGACAGAACTGGAATATTCTTTCCCATAGATGTGACGTTTCTAAAAACCTTACAAGACAGAAGGGTACCATTAAATGCTCATTACCCAGACACACTCCTTTGGAAAATGTGGAAATGACATCATTTTTCCTTGTGGTGTAAACTGCCCTCACCTGAATTCCACCCACCATGACTGTGACACATTTGCTGTCGAGATAACCCAAACACTTGTGCTACAAACATCACACTCCAGGTTCGGGTAACAACGTTCAGAGTGCCAGGCTTAGATAGTTCCAAAACCATTTGATCTCTTATCCCAAATTTTGCTGACTTTGGATCTGTTTTGAAGCAAAATGACTAAAACCATCATGAATCCAGGTCATCACATCCATTGGACACCACTACCAGCAACCATGGTTGTCATCAGTGCCCAGAAGCTGAACCCACATGCAACTGGGACTCAAGCCTAAGCCCATCACATGAGAATCAAAGGTTGTAACCTAGAACATCACACTTTCTTCAGCTCTGAGTCTCCGGCTCATAATGCACAACACTAGCTCACAGAAAATCTTTTAGAAGAATAGTCAAACACCACTTTTAATTCACCACCACTTACCACTCAATCAGCATTCCCTTGAGAACATTGACCATTTCTGATCAGGACCCTTTCTGCAGAAAGCTGTGGAAACATGAACAATTAGTTATATCATAACAAGGAAGACAACAGAAAAAGGAGAAAACATGGCCCCAGTGTGGGAAAAACTTCCGTTTTCTGGTGGATGTGGCACCAGGAAATTTTGTACTCCAGGCTCTTGACTGGTCATAATGACAATTTTTGTACTCCAGACAAACGCTGCAGTCGTCCCACAAAGCAGACACCATTGCAAATGTATGAGCCTGAGTATAAGTACCAAGGCAGACAGTTTTGCTTTCTTGATAGCCAGGAGGGTGCATGAACTTTGCTTTCATAAAGTGAGTTATAACTTTTATTTGATTTCCAGGGACCAAACACATGGAACACCAAGAAATGGAAACAAGCATTTGCAGTCCTGCAGGAGCTGGCCAATCCAGGGCGTTCATGTCAATGTCCTTCATCATTGTATTACATGGGTTAGATGCACTTGTGCAAGCCTATGCAACCCCTGAAGGGTGATGACAACTCATGTGAGTTACTTCTGTGGAAATGAAATAAACTGAAATATGAAATGTGCTTGCTGTAAGTACCTACCGCTGCCACATACATCACATGTCATTACCTGTGGGGAAAATATATGGCGCACCTGAGTAAGACCGCATTCTCCACGACGCACACACCTACCGTTACCTTTTCAAGAAACGGACAGACATATCACGGCTCTGGCTCCCACCACGCGGCGAACCCATCGCCTCCCGTACCCGAAACCAACGGCAGCCCAGCCTCCTGCAACTGACGAGTGCATTTTTGAGCAGTGGAGGTCCGTGTGGCAACAGACACCTACAATAATATTCGTTCGACCAGAAAACCACTAGCAGCACCAAAATCACCGATGACACATCTATTTCAACTAGATTATTCAAAGACTCGCAGAGCAAGGAGTCCAGGATGCCAACTATGCTCTTAACTTACCTCATATTGAGAAAACGTGTTAGCGATTTTACCAAATGACGTGCATCTTGCAAACGGTTTGGTGGGAAAATTCCAAAATATTGCAGCATTGCACATTCTTTTCAAAGCGCTTGTTTCATTCCCGCTCCTGCCATACCAACCACTAATCACCATCCGACTTGCAATTAAACCGAAAATCATAGCATTCAAACACACCACATATCGGCACTTTTAAAACAGAATCATGACATTAAATGGCATCCAAATATCACGTTTGTGAGCGACACTTTTAGTGGTAACGGCTCCTTTTGGGTTCTTAAATGTCATCGGAAATTACGTTCCCAAAATGGGAGTTTGTGGCATGCGGCATTCCAAAACTTATTACTATTGCATAAATGATAGTAGGCCAGCCACTTTTTCAGAAATCGGTAAATGCCGGTCTGAAGATTCAAGGATATCTTACTTATTTAACAACGGTATCACGTCTCCAGGCTCAACCAGTACCCATACTTGTAAGATCGAGATGGTCCATAACCCGGTGGGAAAAATCGCAGTACTTGGTTGCCCTTCTCACGATGGGGCCCATGGGGAGACCCGGGGAGAACAAGCCGGAGTACAAGCCGGAGAACAGCAAGTTTTTAGCAAAGTTAACCAAATTTAAGTGAAAAATTTACGTGTTTTGGTGTCGCCCAGACACGGGCCTTCCTCAGAGGGTGATGAAATGACATGATATGCCTTAGAATGAGAAATATCTATCGATTTGTAGTATAGGTACTGCATTATCTCGGCGTCGTCTTGCGCCACCAGAAGATAAGGTATATTTGTAGGTGGAAAATAACAACTTGAAATGCATGGCTGTAAAGCTCTATGATTTTTCTACCACAAACTTAACAATTTGTGTTCGTGCAACTGCATAAATGGCTTTTCTTCGACTATTCATCACAGCCTGTCATTTCAGGACCGACTCGTGGTACTTGTACTTGGTTGGCCCATTGACGAGTGCTAGAATGCCATCACAATGTGAATGCGCCAGAACTCCTGCGCGTGGCTTGGTTGTTTGTCTTGATGTGGTGGGAGTGAGGGGGCCGGAGGGTGAGTGAAGCTGCTTGGGATTATGTGCATCGTAGTTGCGAGTTTGAGGTATTGAGTGAGGCAAGGTGGAATTGGTTGTCTTCAATTTTCACACAGCATGCATCCACACTTTTAAAGTTACTTGGGATTTAATTTCGGACCGCTATTAAGTCATTCTAAAAAAGGTAAATAAATACCGGGGGACTGATCTATAAATGTTAACCAATGCAGGCCAGTGCAGAACCACCTTGTTATAACCTGCTCTACCTACAGCATGGTGGGTAGGTGCGTAGGTACTAAGGTATCTATATACAACATTACTGCTAGGCTTGGGTTTCCCATGTGGGATCAAATATGAGGCTGGCCTCTTTTCAGCCTGTGGTTATAATTGCTGTAACCTGACAGGTGGCAATGCTGCCATGTTCCTTGCTGTTAGGCATAAGGTCCTGCAGTGACACTATTAAAATTGTCCCTACATAGGATCATAGGGAACTTGGACAAGAGGAGAGGGATAACGGGAGGTGCGGGAAGAGAGGACGAGTAGAAGTGGAGGAGGAGTGGAAGGAGAAGGGTGACAGAAAGAGAAGGTGAGGAACTGAAAAAGGAGAAGAGCAGAAAGAGAAGGATAGGAAGAGGAACACTTTTGGTATGTTTATATTAATTATGTACAGGCCAAAAGGACTACATGTTAGTGATGTCACATGCATAAGGCTTTCATAGTCAGTTGCATCTGCCTAAGACTCATTAAAAAGCCAGGGTGTGATGCACAGTGGTTGTCCACAGTTCAGTTTGTCAGTAAGCAGAGGATGCATCTGATTTATCATTTTGATATTGTGTAAGATTGCATGTAGATAGGTGATGATATGTAACTGGGCTTTGAATGATGCACCTGTGAATGCATATGTATAAAGTTTTGTTGCTAACCTCTCTATCTGTATATTTCTTATTGACATGTACCATTAATCAATCTTTGCATGTATAGGTGAGCTAGTAGTACTACAGGGATAGGGATGAGATCGGTGTGGCGCCCTCACTCACAAGAAGTGCTCTGTTCCACTTAAATTCAAAATTGTATGCTGACACTAATTTTTGCTAGAAAAAAACATTGGGAAAATGTTGACCCATTAAAGGCAGTATGTAACGTACTCCAAGCAAGGCCCCGTTGTGCAGACAGTCATTCCGCATTACACAGACCTTTGCTTGCAGACAAGTTTGTACTCAGACCACAAAAAATTTTGTACTCCGCCACCAGCAAAAAAAAACTGAATTTCCCACCCTGCATGGCCCCCATACATTTTTTTATCCTGCTCTCATGGACTATGTTTTTAAACTGCCATAATATAGACTCCATACCTTTTTCACCACAATCCTTTCATGGGTATGCTTATGACATTGATTTCCAAGCAAAATGTGCCATGCTTCAGACACTTGATTTCAATTACTATTGCTCCCAATTACCAACTTATTTACTGATTCAATATGTAAGTGTAGGATGTAGTCTCCCTGCTAGCTGTTTTTGGTGTACACAACAAATGAGTGAGTTTGATAGAATGCAAACTATCAAAACTGAATGGGTCACTTCTGGCAATGTTATATCCATAAGTGTGTTTCAAAACGGACAAAAGATGAAACAAAGCAGGCAGGACACAGCACTATAACTTGTAGATACTGGTGTTAAAAATATCTTAATCTATAAGGTGCAAAATTCATCCCATCACAATGTACTGAACACTAAAAAAGTTAATGGAGCATACAAGCTTTGAATCAACAACTTGTTTGGTATGGCTTTACAATCAATATCTGAGATTTGGTTTTGGCTATTGGGGGAGACAACAAAAATACTAAGATCATGGCCTGTAGTGAGAACAAAATAACCCAAGTGAATCTGCACTGTTTCCACAGCTGGCACTAAAAGGCATTCTTTGGCAGCAGATGACAGTAATATCCATGCTCTAGTTGGTCTCAGTAATTGTCAAAGACCATCAGAAATTGGCTGCTTGCAGTTCTTAAATTTTCTAGCTTACTTAGTAAGTCTGATAGGAGGCTGTTGGTATCAATAATTATATTGCAAAGGTGTCAGTCCTAATAAAGACTGATAAAAGCAGACACGTAACATGTGGCGCACCTGTTGCACCATTCCACAGAGCACATACTGCTAAGTTTATGGTCAAAATGTCATGCAAGCCACCATATAAATACAAGCATCTGGGACATTATGGTAAGTGCAGAAAGTACATTCTAGCCAATGTTCAATTTTTCTCACCCAGAGGAAAATTTTTAGGGCAATGTGATACCCATCTAAGCTTTTACTGACCCAGACATACTCAATCCAGAAAAAAACAAGTGTGTAGTTCCCTATTTAGCTGAATAGGATGCTAACTCCTCCCCAACTTTGAGAAAACATTGATCAAAATCGGGGAGAACATGGTTTGTACCACTTGTTTATGATAAAAGACTCCTCTGCCCACCCGCTCCAAGATACGTACAAAACTAAACCACCTGGGGCGTCAGGCTCCTGCGTGATTGGGGCTCGCAGATCAACGCAGCAGGGGCGGAGAAATTGTTTCCTCCTCACAGATCAATTCAGCCCCATAAATTTAGCATCAATACATCTTCTCACCGGCGTTGAATGTGATACAATACTTTTCTCAGTTTATGACACTGTTCTAAATTTACACATTGCCTTTACGTACACCACCAACTAAACCCGCCACCACTGCTCCCAAACTTGCCCAAACTGCTGCTCCAAAACAAGGTCGGTAGGCTACATAAATGGCGCGCACGTAATAGAGGTCTTCAACGACATGCATATATTTTTCGCATATGAGTATCCTAGCAACCATTCTCAGCGGTGTTAGAAATAGTGCTGACCGAAATGGCCCAGCTATTGATGTTCTGGCAAGTATGTATATATATATATATATATATATATATATATATATATATATATATATATATATAGAGAGAGAGAGAGAGAGAGAGAGAGAGAGAGAGAGAGAGAGAGAGAGAGAGAGAGAGAGAGAGAGAGAGAGAGAGAGAGAGAGAGAGAGAGAGAGAGAGAGAGAGAGATGTGATACCCATCGTTATATATGTAACGTTATATAAACGCAATATATATATATATATATATATATATATATATATATATATATATATCCGTACCAAAAGATGTTTTCCAACAGTAGTGCACGATTTTTCATCCTTTAAAACTCAAAACTTATTTCTTGTGCAATTTAGTCTTCTCCGAAGATGAGATAAGATCTCGAAACGTTAGAATGGAAGGAGTGATGAATATCTGAGTAATTTTGTGCGAACCATCTTTAATCTAAGCGATGACGCAAAGTCAAAGGCCCGGAAACTAGAACGATGCATCAAAAAGCTCGTCAATGCTGAGTAAGCAGTTATTTTTAATCAAACATGTGTCAAAGAAAGAATTCTGCCAAAATATTCCGATATATATATATACTATCATCACATCAAGTACATCACTTTGTATATACATTTATGTGTGCTGTAGCTCAACAACAAGCTTTAAAGAACTACGAGAAACAAGGTTTTGGAGCAGGACAGCTGAGGCCACTAAAACCTACATTGCCGAGCATACTGTAGCGGTGGACCATGCCCTTGGTCAGTGTGTCAGCATGTAAGACGAGTGGGGCGATGACTCATGTATGAGTGAGGAGAACAATCACGGCTTGGGGCGG